TATTGCACTCTTGCTCACAGTTGCTATTCTATATAACAGCTTGATGAAGTCAATAGTGTGTCTAACATTTTTGTCCACTTTTTTTTGTTTTTCTGTAATAGAATTAGTTTGTTTTCCGTGATGATTGACCGTTCGAGTCACAGTACCATCTAATCGGGATGATGGTTTGTTATTAATGTATTCTCATGTGTACACCTTTTATCTCTGCCTTTTTTTTCCCATCAACCAGCCTTGGATTTATCGAAATCTTGATTTGGCTGTTGATCTTGATCGGCGGGTTACTCTGGTTGGACCGAATGGTGCTGGTAAATCCACTTTGCTCAAACTGATTGCAGCAGAGGTTAGTTTCTATTTCATTTTACTCTTTTCATACACATTGTCTTTCGTGACTGTAGTCATGACCACAACTACTAATCATTAGGTTACAGATCTGAACCCCTATTACCTCAATTGATCCCCTGCACGTATGGCTCAATTATACTGAACACTGTGGTGGAAAGGCCCAGAATATTTCAACGTTTCATTCCTCTACTGCATAAAATGTTGTTGTTGTTGCGTAAAACATATTTGGAGAATTTTGTGTAAGCAGTTGATTGTATATGCTATCCGATCGACGATAATTCAAATATATATATATATATATATATATATATATATATATATATAATTTGTTTGATAACGGATCCTAGTGTGGATTTGAACCGTCGCAATAAATCATTCACTACTCAGTGTGTGCTCTTTTTTAAATACTTTAAATATATATATCTACAGTATAGTTCATATATGTTCAGGCACTGTTCAAAACTAAAGGTAGTACCATAAAACTTGGGATGAATAAAAAAAACAATTCGATCCGTTTAAAGTATATTAAATTCTGCACACAGGCACCAGTGATTTCGACTATTCGCCATATTTGACAAGATCGCTAACTGTAAACTTCCCGGATCCTGTGGCCCCTGTTAATCAGTGTTTGGACGCCAAAGACATTCTTCCATCTCACTTGCTCAATCCATCTATGACACTTTTTTGGTCGATCTCTGCACTGCCCTTTATTGCTTACTCTTTGTTCCTGTAGTATGGTCCAACGATGGAGTGGCTTACAAAACGCATGTCCGAACCAGAGAACTCAATGACCATAAATCTCATAATGTTAAGAGATGTTCAGATTGCTATCCCTGAGGATCCGTTACCTAACAGACTGGTTGTTGAAGCAGTAATTATCAAAACATAATCGGCGAACATTCTGCGTCCGAATTGACCGTTCTTTCCAACCGTGTCGTGAGACGATGCACATGGATGCAGTGTACATTGACCCTAGTGGACAAGTTCATGTTTTCAAGTTGCTATAGGTGGCGCTGTTTGATAAATGTCACTCGAGCCTTCGAAATACAATTGTCGTTGGCTTCACTCACGTCTCCATGAAAACTTATGTAGCTACCAAGGTAGACTACGTTATCCATGACCCCCCAACTTGTCACTATCGTGAGTAGATTCAAGGAGATAGGCTTGTTTCTGCCCTGAACTGGCATTTTATATTTCTGATGAAGCAAAACTCATTCGTTATCGACCAATTGGCATTTAATTTTTCATAGAACAGAGAACTGCAATTGACGTAGTTTAGCTCAAGAATTTTGTCACGTGAACCACTACCATTATCATTGTAGTAGTTCCCTTCCACTTCTGTATTTAAAATGTCATCCATAGCTGGGTGAGAATGGAAGAGTGTTAGTGGATGTACCCATGTGGGGACAGAACGTCAGTAGTCGAGTCATTTGCTTGATGACCTATTAGTTATTTATTGAGAGATGTTTAAGCTGGCGACTTCACGATCGAATGTTCTCACAAACCGTTATGATCAGTCAATGCGATTTAGTATAACGCGTCTGTCTTTGGTGCATCTGCGATACTGACCTTCGGTCTAACATCAACTGTATTAGTGTAAATAAATAATATGCCATGAGTTGATATGTATAGACTGTAGTTTTGTGTATACAACCGACGAGAGTAAACGAAATGTTGGTATCTCACAATAGTAGTGTTTTTACTGTGTTGCTGGATTGAATCAAAAGAACTTAATGTTTCAAACATAAATATGTGATAATATAATTGATACATCTACAAGCGAAGGGGCTGCCTCACTTCGTCTAGGTATCTTCGAAAATTCTGTCTACTGTGTTAGATTTTAGATTTCATATCTCGAATTATGATCGCAATAATCTTTGTTCCGCATTGTACCAGCAATCATGTTAATCATGCGAACACATAAGATTCTTCAGCAAATTATCATGTTAAATAAACGTTGAACACGCCAGTGGTTAACGGCAGTGCTCATCAGTGCGTGAACGGAGGTCAGTGTGTTGTTTGAGGTGCTCGTTCGTGTGATTGTGATTCAAGTCTTCGATTCACACATATATTTCGAAACAAATAGATTTCTTCTCGATTATTTCGTTATGGCTGCAGAAGAATGGCTAATAATGGTTCCACATTCTCTCCCACGTTCCAGCTGGACCCAACAGATGGGCTCGTCAGACGTCATTCACATGTTAGAATCGGACGGTATCATCAGGTGAGTGCACACATTACTTTCGCAATACACGTAGTATAGAATATGCTCGCGAATCGTTTTGTGTACGCGCTTTTGAACTCGTGGTCATTTCAGTCCTAACGGTGACGATTACTGATCTTGAAGCTGCGGGTTCGTTTGATAGCAAAACCTTTGCGGTGTTCAGACTGTGGATTCGTTACACTGTCGACGGAGTGGGATTTCAAATTGCAGAATGATGCCTAGAGTTAGATTCCCATCTAGGGCAATCTTATATCATTTGTAGGTAAACTATGTTGTCAAGCAATGTTCGTTCTCATATTTTCACTTGTTATGGAAAAATTGACCTATAATTCGGTTTCGTCTACTGCTTTCAACCCTTGAAATAACGCATAAAATGATATGGTTAACTCTTGTGAGAATGATGCCAATCCATCGCCTGGTGCAGAATTTAAAACAACCATAGGTTGGTTAAAAGGTTTGGGTTGTGTTCGTTTTCTTGTTTGTGGACCTTCTGTGGACGTAATTTCTGGTTATAAACAGCAGAGTAGATAGATTGCCGGTTCGGTGGTTTGCATCTCACTATTTTTGTTCAAGCTGATTAAACCAGATGGGAAATTTTACGAGAAAATCATCTCAAACATTGCCATCTTTCTCTCGTTTACTGCTGGGATAATTGTTCGGGTTTACATATTCCGGTTTTTATGGAAAAACAAAACTAATTCATGAAGATAATGACCATCATTTTGGCGTAAATTTGCTTGCTCATTAAGCCTATTTGTTCTTCCTCCTCAATTAGGACAAAGGTGACACTTCTGTCTGTAATGTTCTCATCCTAATGAAAGACTTATGGTGATTGTACTGTTTACATTTGTGTTGGGAAAACTCTGTTGTATGCAGTCAAAGTTTATACGAAGGCCTTGGATATGAAAATTACATATTTTCACACGTACAACCAACTAATAAAAATGTTACCGTGTTCCAATGCAGTCTTTAAAAATAGCATCTTGGTCCATATATTACGTAGATTTCATCATCATCATCATCGTAGACAGCAATACATCAGTAGTTCACACTGATGCTTAACTGCCACACAACCATGAAGAAGAAGAAAAAACAAACCCTGTTTAGGAAGAGAGAAGAAAAAAGAGGGAGGGGAGGGGACCTAACCACTAAAAA